AGATTTTTAAATATTTTTCCTATATATTTCAATGTAAAACTTGGGATTCCCCCTATTGTGGCCCCGCCCTACCCCCGGGGGTCATGATTTGAACAATTCAGAATCTACACTACCCCAGGATGCTTCCACATAAGTTTCAGCTTTTCTGGCCCAGTGGTTCTTGAGAAGAAGATTTTTAAAGATTTTTCCTATATATTTCAATGTAAAACTTGGATTCCCTATTGTGGCCCCGCCCTACCCCCGGGGGTCATGATTTGAACAATTTAGAATCTACACTATCCCAGGATGCTTCCACATAAGTTTCAGCTTTTCTGGTCCAGTGTTTCTTGAGAAGATTTTTAAAGATTTTTCCTATATATTTCAATGTAAAACTTGGATTCCCTATTGTGGCCCCGCCCTACCCCCGGGGGTCATGATTTGAACAATTTAGAATCTACACTACCCCAAGATACTTCCATAAAAGTTTCAGCTTTACTGGCCCTGTGGTTCTTGAGAAGAAGATTTTTTAATGACCCCACCCTATTTTTGTCTTCTCTTGATTATCTCCCCTTGTGAGGGGACTTGGCCCTTCATTTTAACAATTTAAATTCCCCTTCACCCAAGGATGCTTTGTACCAAGTTTGGTCAAAATTGGCCCAGTGGTTCTTGAGAAGAAGTCAAAAATGTGAAAAGTTTACAGACGGACGGACAGACAGACAGACGGACGACGGACAAAATGTGATCAGAAAAGCTCACTTGAGCCTTTGGCTCAGGTGAGCTAAAAAGAAGCTATACGGTTTTTCCGGTGACCAAGTAAATATCATGCAGTAAACCGACGAAAACCATATGTCCCTGTTGAATCGTAAACACGTAGTAGACCGTCATACCTTGTGATACATTCAATCGATTGGAGAAAGGGTTATACGAAAACATCGTCACGTGTTGAAAAGTGCCTTCCATAAAAGGTAGTGTTCCCGACCTGTTAATTTAAATAGACCTACAGTATTAATACAAGTTTACATGACTTTTGAGCTTTTTACTGGTCTACAAATGAAATGAAAAAGGTGAAGACAACGAACAGTTGTCGATCTCAAAAAATCTACAAACAATACGAATTTGTGAACAGGACAAATAAACACGGAACCCCGAAAATTCCAGAGATGGGATCAGGTACATAGGAGGAGTAAGTATTCCCTGTTGACCGGTCACAGTATGAGCACCATGTATTGATCACGTAGACGGATATTTAGTGTTATATCAAAGGCTTTACTGTGTCTAAATACTAAATACACATGCAAAAACCAACTGTATGCAGTAAATAAAAAGAAATTATCAAACTTTCATCCTATGGTAAATATTTTTTTTTTTTGGGGGGGGGGGGGGTCACATAATTCACTATTGTGCAAATGAATTTAAATTTAGATCCCCACTCCACTTTTCCCTTCTATGAAAAAAAATGTCTGGTGCCTATAAAAAAACAATAATACGAAGGTCTTACCAAGTACATGTACTGCACGTGTCTATGGTTTATCATCACCCATGATCGCCCTTCCAAAAATATTCATGCTTTTCAACGCAAATGCAAAATGAACAATGACTAGCTGTTAGCACCTACAATAAATAGTCCAACCAGGGCATGGACAGGGATACTAGTAGCTGTTTGATTCCCTTTGTATCCACTACCCATAGTAATCCTTTATCTCTATTTAGTAAGAGACGAGATGCATTGTTTTTTTTTTAAATATGTGTATCGGGGGGGGGGGGGGGTTACCAACGAGTGAAAAAAGGAAACGAAACTTATTATGTGTGGAATAAAAAAGAAATGGAGGTGGCATGTTAACAGCCTTTGAAAATTTCCTTACTAAAGAAACACTAAATGACTATTCTCGTGTGACCCCCCCCCCCCTTTAAAAAACTACGTGCATCTGGTTGAGTCCAGTTTGGGTCACAATCTGGATCATGTTCTCTGCCCAGGTGCTTGTATCTGTTTAATTGCTTTATATTTTTTTAGATGGTAATATCAGTGCAGGCTTATGCAAAGCAGTTTCACCAAAGCGTTTTTTTTTTCAGGGACACACCGGATATGCTTTGTAATCTAAGGTAAAATACATATACTGGAAAAATTGTTCAGATGACACACACTTCGCTTTTTCTCGTGCAAAACTGGTGTCTACCTAACCACGGTTAAAATCCACTTCCAATCTGGAGGCTATAAGCGGACTCTGGACCGTGGCTTGAGATGTTGATTATCGTTATACTTAAGCTTTCACAATGAACGCATATATATAAAGTTCAAAGGTGACATATTAGATTTGCACTTGCATGCAAATGTCTTTCCTTGGACTTTTTGAGTATTCATGATAGATAGCATAATTTCCGAGAACGTTTTACAGTTCTGTAAATAATATAGCGATGTATTTGAACCTGCGATATAAAGGGAATGGTTATTGCATGGAGGGAGTGACCTGTCCATCTCCTTATGGTTTACTGCGTTTCTTGCAACTCAGTGACGACATCTCTGTATGTGTCTGACAAAACAACATATTCTTCTATTTCTTTATTCAAAGTCGCAGTAGAAATGTCGGAATCTGAATCGCTACCCGAACTTAATGTACTTCCGTGCTATGTTCGCCTGTGTACATAACAACCATGGTAACAAGGGAAATAATTCAAACGAAATTTTTAAATTGAATATCACAATATATTTCTTTTTATTTCATTTTCATGTTCCTATACATTTATTTTGTATTTGAAAAAAAGAAAAGTAATCGCGTCATTTCCATGCAGTTTGTGCAGGTAGCAAAAATGTATCCTTCATCGACAAGAAAATTTAACACCTAATATGTTTTTCATTGTGATAGCTTTTTCTTTTAAAGTTGTAACGTGTGCCGAATACACAAATCTATTTTTGGCTCCCGATGACACACTTACAACAACACCAGTCAAAACGAATTAAAACTTTAACAAATTTTAATAGTAAAACAAATATGTAATCAATAATAAATAAGCACACACAATTACAGTTACACACAAATTGACAAAATAAACAATTCGCGGACAGAATTTACTCAGCTGTTAGGAAGTCCTCCAGCTCCGCGGACATCGCTCGCTATGTTCACGGCAATACTTCCACGGTTAGCCCAAGCTCAAGCCGAATTACAAAGTATGAAATCATCCACCATTCCTGTGCCCAATGTCTAAAGTCTCTTGAATCTCCTGTCTCGCAGACGATCGCGTGCTGGTGTTCCTCGGCTTCCGGAAATCACACAAAAGGTAACGAGTGACGTCACACATAACAAAAATAACAACATCAGCTGACGCAATATCTATTAATAATATTAAAGTATCGTAACAAAGTACATTTAAAATACTAGACTAAGTACTCGAAAAAAGACTTATATGCTTGTATTTTTAAAAACATTTTTTAATAATAAATCCGAAGATTAAGAAAATGGTAAACGACAATACATAATTATTTGATTAATTATACCTACTACATGTAGGACTGCCACAAAATTCGACAGGGATTTTTGATACTTGTAATGGGTGCGCGAAATCGGGGCTTTGGGCCAAGACTATTACTACATGCATTTATCGCCTAAAGCTACGGAAAATTCGTTTTACTACATGTTTATGGCTCAAAACGTGTCGTACATTAACTCTTCTTTACAAATAATTCATTTAAAAAAAATCTGTTCCATATATCAAAAGAATCAATTAATTTTACACTGAGCTCATTGTGCATGTAAAACGTCAGATGACGTCATAGTGCATTTTGTTTGCTTTACTCGTAAAAGTTCCAAATATTCAACATAAATATCTCTGTAATGAATGCACGTACCTTATAATGTCCGCAATAGAACATGTATGGAAAATCCCCAGCTTTTAGGTTATGGCATTCATTTTTATTTTATTTTGTGCTGTAAGTAAGATAAAGCCAACAGAAGATAGCACAAAATCACACAAAATCAGTCATTTAGGCGTTATTTTATCATATGCAGTATTCAATTCAATTCAAGTTTACGATAATTTCTTAACATCGCACAGAAAAACTTTGTTTTGTTGTATCCCAATTATTTACAAAACGCCAACAGTTAAATATCTGTGATGCTGAAAATGCGTCAAAGGCGCACTTGCCCCTTAAGGGGTTAAATAAAAAAGAGAGTTCAATGGTTGTTTTATCTATCATGTTTATAATTTTATAATTTGCGAAGTCCATATGCAAAGTGTCTTGAATAGCCCTGTACCTAGTGTGACGTTTTTGACGTCATCAGTGTGAGTTTGACGTCGTCGATGTATCACAGTTGTAGCCTACTTCAATATATGCCCACGGACAAGATACAATGCTTATCATTTGAAGCAAATAAATTCTTAAGAATAAATACATAATTAATGAACGTAAATCTTTAATAGACCAAAACTTGATATAAAATATTTTGATGGGTCATATATGACCCCTGTGGCAGCCTGTGGGTAGAGCCCATATATGACCCCTCTGGCAGTAAGAGGGTTAAACCTCTGGATCACTTGTACTGCGTCATGTCAAGGCTAGTGACGTCATTTATGACACATACATTTACTTCTTAATACTCGGCAGTGATGACATAAAATATTGACTTTACATGATTTTATAATTGATGAAATAAAAGAGTTCATGGCATGGGCGTAGGAACGGGGGCCGTGCCCCCCCCCCCCCCCCCAATAACTTTGCCGATATATAGATTACTATAGAAAACATAGATACTGTATGCTTGTGCCCCATCAATAAAAACGTCTGATGACCTTTTGTTTTTTTATTTGGTAGTTGATAGTGCCCCCTCAACTGAAAATGTATTGCTGTGCCCCCGCCCCCCCCCCCCCCCAAGTGAAACTGCTTTCTACGGGCCTGCAAGTTGTTATTTACGCATCATCATCTCGGTAAATACTTCGTTTCCGGGATGTCTGCACTAAGTAAATGTGTCATGTGACTTTCATCACCACGTGACAAAAATCTAGGCATAATTTAGACAAAATGGCGACGGAACAGCTTCGTCTTAAATCGGTTCCCCAGCTCCGTGATTTTTTGAAAGAAAGAGGTATTCAAACATCAATTTATCGAAAACAACAACTACTTAGATTGACAGAAGCTGCAACTGCAATGGAAATTGAGCCGGAAGAATGCGCCATTGAAAATAAACGCTACCACGATCAACAAAGGAGAACGGTGGAGGTCCGTACCGATGAAAATATTACGACTTTTATTTTACCTGACGTTAGTGGACTTTCTGATTGGAAGGTTGATTTACAAACTTTGCCAAAAATTGAAATGGGTGATGTAATGGTGTATTTGATGACTTACTGTGACTGGAGTGCAAACAGACTGAAGTCTTACAAAGATGATAACTCATTCAAACTGTATCAAACCAACCACATTGACAAAGTTGCGATGGCCACTGTTGCACATGGATACATGTATGTTAAGAGTACCTGCGTGCCAGAGACAAGGCAATCAGAGAAGCCTTACGAGACATGGATACTCTTACATAAAAATAGTTCTGTGAAATCTGGTGGCTGTACTTGTGTGGCGTGAGTATATGTACATTTACTTTTCATAATTTGCTTTGTGGGGTGGGGATTCTTTCAATAATTTTCGGGATGGAGATGCATCTTATTCATACAGCAGAAGTTTAGATTTTTTGAATAAAATAATTAAATACTCTAAGTGTCCCTTTGGGTCAACACATCATGTACATAAATGTACTCAAAAGCAATGAGAAAACAGAAATCATAATGCTTATGTACATGTCATGATAAAACACGACTGATCTGTTTTTTGATGTTAAACACTTAGATGAACATCCAAGTTGTCCCTGCATAGAGGTTACACAGATTTATTTAGAGTTTGTTAAATATCTACCTGGTAGACTAGTTGCCACAATCTTGAACGCACTCCTGATGTTAGTATAATATAAATTTAATCCAAGTTGAAGGGCTAAGGATTAAGTATTAATCACATAATTTTTTTAATTTTTCAATGAATAGTTTTGTTTTTTTTTTACATAGATTTTTTTTTATTAAGGCTGATGTAAGCACACATATACATTGTATTAGACCTGCCATGTACATTGTAAAATTTAATATATTAATTCAAAGTGAATTAAAAGCAAGCTTTTATTTCTTTTTCCAGAGATGATGGAAGTTGCAAGCACTGTGTAGCATTGTTGTTTGCATTGCATGACTTCAGTGAAAGGCACCAAGACAGAGGCACTGAAGTATGCACTGACACTCTAACCCTGTTACAACACAAAATATCGACTTTGGTAAGAAAGATATCCGTGATAGTTATCAGCCTTTTTCTGATAATGCTATTGATTTGCATCTAAAGCCTTACAGAGACAATTTAATGAAATCTTTGTACAAAGTCTGCAAGAAACATGGTTCAGTATTAACTTACACCATGGAGCCTCCGTCTGATGAAAGTGATAGTGAAAATGATATCAATAACAATCAAGTACTGTTACCAGATGATATTCAGAAGTATAAATCAGAGCATGACATTGTAGAAAGACAGGAATTTCTTGAATATTTGTGTAACATTCATACACCAGAAATTATTAGAAATATTGAAAGTATAACAAAGGAACAGATTGATGACCCAATGTGGCATGAATATCGAAAGGGTAGAATTACGGCATCAATAATGGGATCGGTTCTGAAATGCAATATGGAAAGACTGAATGAAAATAACTACATAGTAAAGAAAATTCAAAGTTCTGCCACTTTTTTCTCTACACAAGCCACAGATTATGGAAAATCGATGGAAGGTGTCGCTCGAAACCAGTATACGGAACAATACATCAAATCTCACCAGAAAGCAGAAATTTTGAAGGCAGGTTTGTCAATTTCTCCTGCATGTCCTATTATAGCTGCTTCCCCAGATGGATATGTGAAATGTCTATGTGGTGGTGAAGGTCTCCTGGAGATCAAGTGCACATACACACACCAGCACAAGTATACTAAGGATATTGCTAGTGAAAACAATTATGTTCATCTTGTGAATGATGAAGTGAAATTAAAGGAAAACTCGCCTTGGTACTCACAAATCCAAACTCAACTTTTTGTAACTGGAAAATCATGGTGTGATTTTGTTCTTTTTACTCAAAAAGACTTTGCAACTGATAGAATTTATTTCAATGCAGAATATTTTGATATGTGCTTGAAAAAGGCTATTGATTTCTACTTCAAATTTATAATGTAATTTCAAATTTTTAATGTAATTGAGACATAAAACTTTGAAACAAGACTATATTTTCTTTATTTTTATTGAAAACATGACATTTTTCATTCATCACAGAGAAGTCAAAACTACTATTATTCTATTTCAAGCTCTATGGACAGTTATTTCTCTGGTACATGTACATATCATGTTTATATAATGTATAACAGGAAGAAAAATATATACAATTTATTGCCAGTCTTGTATGATATATTACAAGTATAAATGGATTTCATTTTTCAACTTCAAGGCCTAGTAAATTCAGCCAATTTACTTCAAATAAAAATCTGTGAATAAATAAACAAGCCATTTTCTTAAGATTTAACTAGAGGTCGATGTAAATTACAGAAGAATGCTGCAACAGTGACCATAGGATGAACCAGTGATTTCATGTCCCATGGTATGGTTTGTGAAATAAGTTTGAATGTTTTTAAGCGTCCAATTGCTCTTTCAAATTCTGAGATTTGCTATTTTCCTTGTTTTTTTAATGTCGCTGGCACACAGATACTTCCCCTTTCCCCAGTTACATTTGCGTGAAAATGGTGGAATAGTTAAATATGCTTTTCGCTCTGTAAGGAGGTCTCTAATTGTGAACCCTCTATCCGCCATTATTTCATCACCAGCAGATAAAAGGTCTAAAAATCCACTATGCTCAGTTATGTACCTATCAGAGGAATTGCCACCCCAGATTTCAGAAATAAAATTGAATGCACCATTAGGAGTGATGCTTACAAGAAATTTAAAAGTATTATGAGATTTGTAAGTGCTGTAAGTCCTAGCATTGACAGTTGGATTTTTAGGCCTTTGAATAAATATCTCAGAGCAATCAATAATAGCCCTCGTCCGAGGGTAACTCTGTATGAAGGATTTTGGCATGAACTTTTTAACAATGTCTCGAGAAGGCCATATGATACAGTCTTTGAAAATATAATACAAGCAAAACATCCATATTGTAAAGATGGATGAAACCCCAAAAAGTTGTGACATGACAAAGACAGGCAGAGCTAATCTTAAGCGTACCAATGTTAAAATGAATTCATCTGATCGTGAAAGTTTCCTGATAGGCCCAGGTTTTTTCCCCTGATTTTGATAACGCTTCTCTGTCTCACTCTCACTTCCTGTCCAATACTTAATATTGATATCAAAATTGACTACAGCATCTTTAATTGTGTTGAAGATTTTTAAGCTTGGTAATCCTGTAAACTTTCTAACTGAATCGTCACTCTTAGTAACTTTTTCTAAGAAAATGTCTCTAAATAAAGTATCTTTATCATCAATTATTTTCTTCAGCTCTTCATTTTCTGATAAAATGTCATTGATACTTGTGAGGCTCATATCTGTCTGTATGCCAGTGTCAGTAAACAATGAATCACACCCCATGAGTAGTATAAGCAGCCTAGCTAGGCGGGTCAACTGAGTGCACTTTTGGGCCCTGGGGGGATGGCCGGGTCAACGGAGTGCACTTTTGGGGCCCCTGGGGGGATGGCCGGATCAACGGAGTGCACTTTTAGGCCCTTAAAGTGCCTAAAAAAAAAATTCATGTGAGATCCTACCTAGCCCTAAACTTGGCAGTGATTCAAATCTTGATTATGACGTCATTCTAGTCCTTCATCGCCTCTCTGGCTGCTTTAATTTTGACACTTTAAAAACACAGCTGATCTCCAGCTGTTATTCTTTAAAAAAAAGAAAAACAAGTCAATGTTAAAGTTTAAAAAAACTCTTTTTATTTAAGTATAATACAAAGTCAATTCTTCTTTTGAAGTTTCAGGGACTTCTTGACCTCTTCCTTGTGTTTTCTTTTCTTAGGCTGGTCCAGTGGAATCAGATTTTCTTTGTTCTCCTGATGTATAATAGCTTCTACTGGAATGTTTAATAAATTATCCTGTTTGTCCCCGAGACTCATGTTTTCCTGCGTCTTTTTTTTTTTTTCCTTGGGCTTGGATGGTTTCTTCTTCTTCTCAGACAGTTTGTTTTGGTCACACTTATCGGCCCAATGTCCAAATTTTCCACATTTGTAGCATAGGTCTTTCTTGGGACATTCAGGGGCCCAGTGTCCTAACTCTTTGCAGATGAAACAGGGGTTGGTCTCTCTGGTTTTCTTTGGAACTTCTGTGTCTGTGTTGGGACATTCAGGGGCCCAGTGTCCTAACTCTTTGCAGATGAAACAGGGGTTGGTCTCTCTGGTTTTCTTTGGAGCTTCTGTGTCTGTGGGTTCTCTACCTTTTTCTTCTTCTATTTTCCACACTTTATCCTCCAGTTGGGCCATTATTTCTCTCAGGTCAACGAATTCACTCATGACTTTCTCTTCAAACTTATTTGCATTCACTTGCATCTGGTTTAGCATGTTGACTATCCCCTCTAACGTGGTGGTTAAAATACCAAAGTCCTCTTTGGTCATGGGCTCTGGGAAATTATACAATCCCAAGTCCAGTCCTACAGGATCCTGAGTCTCTGGCATGGGGGCTATGACATAGCCTTCAGGTGTCGCATAATTGGGGTTGTCTTTGGTATTCATCATTGCTTGTGCCATGGTATACACCTCTGACTTCTGACTGAAAATGATGACCCATACACTCTCTGCGCTGGTTTTTATACTTTTTTTAAAAAGGAAGGGGTCCTGGAAAAACCCACACGCGCTCAGCACGTTCTGAGATCTGGAAATTCCTGAGGTGTGAGATTTGAGATTGGTTTTTCCAAAGTCTAAAAATAGATTTTTTTTAAAAAAAATTTAAGTCTATTGGTTTTTCCAAAGTCTAAAAATAGATTTTAAAAAAAAAATTTTTTTTTAAAAATTAAGTCTATTGGTTTTTCCAAAGTCTAAAAATAAATTTTTAAAAAAAAAACAGGGGGGTATAAATAAGACAAAATATCATGTCTTCTGTTCATAATCAATTGTCATGTCGAAGCAATACCACTCTTTGATTTTAGAAGGCTATGATTTGTTAATGCAATGGATAGAACAACACCAACAACCTCTGCCTCCCGAGGCAGAACAAGTCTTTCAGAGAGCCACTACCATCATAGAAACCATTCAGGACTTATGGTTACAATGCCTGGCCCTGTTACATCCTCCCAACCTGGGGAGACTAGCTACACTGCATTTTCTATGTCAACGCATGAAAGAAACTCTGCCCCAGAAATGGTATGGGTTAAGCCTGACCCACTATCTAGGAAAGCCTTACACTTTTTTATGCCATCCCAAAGCAAGGAAAGTAATTTTACTCTACCAGGAAATAGAATCGATGGAGAAAATATGCATTCAATACGGGATGAAATATCTGGAAATTTCAGAGAGACTAAGAAATGTGTGACTTTTAATACAGACTTGAATGAAATTCATTATTTACCACCCGAAGATCGGAAAAGTGAATGGATGGCTCTAGTAGCTGATCGAATGAGATTTCAACGCAGAATTCAACATTTGGAACAATTGTTAAACCAAAAAGAAAAATAAAAGAATAAAAACACACTAAGCTTTTTGTTATTGTTGTTGTTTAGTAATGACGTCATCATGTATCCGTTAGACGCTGAGTCTATAAAATCCTGGTTTATTTAAAAATCTAAACTTTCCCACTGCAAATAAAGTGTATACAATTTGTTTTTAGACCAATCTGATTCTATTCATCTCAAAATTTTCATCTGAAAAGGTCAAGATCGAAAAGATTCTTATATTCCCTATACAAAGTCTTATACATTGATTTTCTGAAAATGGCTGACCTTTGACCTCCCTTGTGTTTATCCCGAAACCGACGCTAAGTTTATTTTTACACTTGTAACGATTCTTTTGATCTGAAAACTATATAGACACTCTTCCCTAAGTTCAATCTTATTGCCTGCCATAAGTTTTCTTTGTGTTACACTCTCAAAAGTCTAAAACGACTTATTTTATGTATTCAGGTCAGTCAAGGTTAGCCCTTCGCTTCGGCATGAATGAGCCTGTTCTAAACAAGGGAACAATGTCATGTATGAAAAATACTGTCAAATCATTCTCGAAACTTACCTTCATTCTTTTACTAGAAGGTTTGAATGTATATATGATCCCATAATATGTTATTTACTCCAATAGAGGTATTCACAAAACACAAATAACACAATTTTGATGTTTCCATGATTTTCTGAGCTCTTCGTCATCCGGGCTTTTAGGGTGCTCTCTTTTCGGCTCGCGCTGTGTGTATAAATACCGACGCTGATCAGCTGTTAACTGTCATTCGTTAGTCAGCTGTTCCAGCGACACTACAATTCGACATGTCTCTCTTTACCGAGAACGTAGCCATTCAGCCGGGAGTCGAGGTGATCCTTCAGATGGTGGTCCGGAACCAAGACACCGGGGAGGAATTCGCTGTCTTCAACATGGGGAGGATCAGAGTAGGAGATCTGAGGACTTTCGTGGCAACCAACATCGCCCGGAGAGCCGCCAGAGCCACCCCCTATGACAGGCCTTCGCCTTCGCCAGCAAGGAGCAGAGAGGAGCCACCACGCCCCGTATACCATCCGCGGCCGGAGGAGGAGGGCAGGAACTTCGGCCTGCCGGACAGTCCGGAGTCCCCCCCTTCGTCTCCGGCCGGAGCAGCAGTCCACCGCCTCCTCGACGGGACACAGCCAGCATCACCGCCCCAGGACAGAGCCGTATTCCAGGGCTGCATTCCGTTGTGGGGGATCCAGGCTTCCGTTGCACAAGGATACTGCTGTCTTTGCTTGTGTGAGGATGAGTTATCAAACTTCCTGTGCGGTCGGTGCCGCCAGAGGCCAGCCTGCTTCCTCTGTGCGGCCCGCCTGATAGACAGAGGAGAGGGCTGCCCCCTCTGTCGTTACGGGAGCCCGGAGCCCCTTGTTCGCACCACCCCTCCTACCCGTCCCTCAACACCCAGGGTGGGCCGAGGCCGTGGCGTAACGATCGAAGGAGGAAGAATAGACAATGGAATTTCAACAGGCCGTGGACGAGGGCGACGTCCCAGGGAGTAAACCCTGAAGAAAAAAAAACAACAACGGTCCTTTTAAGGACCAAGTCCCAGGGAGTAAACCCTGAAGAAAAAAAATCAACAACGGCCCTTTTAAGGGCCAACCCAAATTTTACGAAAAGATACCTTTTTGATACACGGTTATAAAAGAAACGTATAATAAACACCAGAGGTCACTGTTTTTTTGTTTTGTTTTTGTTTTTGTTTTTTTTTTTTTTTTTATGCTAAACTCATAATCACTTAAAATTTTTTTTTTTTTTCTTGTCAACTCATATTATTTATTATTCGATTATAACAACAACAACAAAAAATCTATAGACTCTCTCTCTCTCTCTCCCCCATGTCCAATAAAAAAAAAAAAAAAGTAAAAAATACACACATGAAAGACAGTGATTTTTCTCAAATCATTAGGGAATGTGTTTAAGTACGACTTAATTTTCTGTGTTTATGCCGCCATGATACTCTCCAGGCAAGTTTTTTTTACCCCTTTCCTGTTCAAGGCGTGTAATCCACGCTGTAAGTCGTTTTTAAAGTTTTTTTTAACACATTGTTTATTGTTGTGATTATGTTATCCCTCACCTATATGTTTTAATGTCAGCTAATGAACCCAGTTCTGCATGATTTTGAGATAATGGTTTGTCATGTGCTTTAAAGTATGGCCTGCTATTCATGTCATCATTTATGGTCCATAGTAAATAAAGTCTGTATCTTTTAAATATATATATATTTTTATGAATGAAATTTCATTGATTCCAGTATAAGTTAGGTCTTGATATATATATATATTACTCTTTTTTTTTATTCCATTACATTTAAAAACATGCATTGTTTCATGTAGTATTTTTTGTCATCATAACAACATGGTTTTTATTTCTACAGTCCTCAACATTGGAAGATATGTTTTTTGGGGTTCCTAACCATCTATAATCCAGTCTCTATGAAGTGAAGCCTGGGCTGTACTCTTCCTTTGGAAACACACACACAGTTAATCATCCAACATATAGAAACAAAACAAAACTTTCAAGTTTTTCAATGAGATACAAATTTTTAATTCTTTTTTTTTTTTTACTCTACATGTTTATATATATATATATATATATTATAAAAAATGGATAAAGAAAAATGGATAAGTCAAAGATAATTGATAATGTAAATTATAATACCATAGTTGGTAAAAAGATAACAAGGGTTTTTTATATCTCCAAGTGCTGATGATTTTTCTGAATTTTTTTTTTAATATTGACAATATATTACAGGGGGAAAAAGAAATCTGTACTGTGAGCCAAAACTGGATGATCTCATGGAATTATAACAAATTCCTAGTGTTTTCTACTGGGCACCACACACACACCCACCCCCACAAGGATCTGCTTATGAGTGCATCAGACTGCTGTGGAGGCTGAAGCATGGCACTTCATATTC